CTTTATGGTATGTTAATGTGGTTCCAAATGCACGACAATGCACATGTCCCTCTTTTTATATTTGAAAAGTTAAAAAAAACACAAACAATCCCTGTCACCTAAACCAAAGTCCTGAACAGGGTTCATAACTGATCAGATTATTCATGTTTCTGCTTCTGAGAAATGTTCCTCCATCTACTGCACCAGAGGAGAGGAGGAGCCACATTTCAGAACAATTTCTGCTCAACCTTCTCTGATTTAATGATTTTTTTTTTAATAGAATAAAGTATGAATATTTATAAAGATATCTGTGAAACTTTAGGCTGATAAATCAAGTATTTTCCAAGATACTAAAAAAAAAAGAAGTCAGTCGACCCTTTTTTTTTTTTTCGCACATTGAAAGTTGAGGCTGTTGAAGGACAATATAGAAGATTAAAGCCTGAAATTTTGAGTTTTTTGGGGGGGGTTGAGAAGAAATGATAATGTAGAAGCCAACCAGTGGTATTTTATAATTTTAGTTCCCTGCCACAATAATACAAAATAAAATGTCATAATTTATAATACAGAATACTTGGTCACAAAAATGAAAAAAAAAAGACGGTATTTTGAAAATTCAAAATATTCCCATTTTATTAAAAACAAACAAACAAAAAAAATCAAAATAAATCTCCAGAACTCCGTTTGACTTGGATTGAACTCTAATAATGTTTTTGTGTTTGTGCTGCAATTTGTCATATTTGTTCACAGAAGATAACTTTCCTTTCATTTTGTGGCCAAGTTTTTCTTATTATTAAGTATTATAAATGTTTTGCGTTGTATGATTGTGACATGCAGCTACTTATGCTTCAGTAAATATCACTAGTTGACTCGTGAATGATAATTTTTATTTGTTAAAACGTGCTCAAAGATGGGACTCTTCATTATGTTTTCATATTTAAACTACTCGTCAAACGTTACAGATTCTGGATCGACGGCACGATGAGAAATAAAATGTCAGAGTTTTATCTTTAATAGTTCCTGAGACACTTCCCTTGAAACATGCTGCATGTGGGTCGATAGGCAATTAAAAATATAAAGATTTATATTCCAGAAAGTCCCAAATATATGAAGCTAAACCTTCACAGAGACCATTTTGAATAGATTTAAAAATAGGAGTTTCTAGCAAATCAGAGATGGTCGAGCAGAGTCGCAGCTAAAACGTCTGAGCGGAAGATCATTTAATTCATCACAAAATCTGAATCAAACTCTCTAAAAAAAAAAACACCTCGCCGGCTAACGAACGACAGGGAGTTCAGATTAGCGTGAGCTTTTAACAAAACCTTATTGGGCAAATTTTTTAAATAAAAAAGTGGCTAAGCTGAGGTTAGCTTTGGTTTTCTCTACATCCAGTTTGTATTTCATCACCAGCGGAGCCGAGGAAGGGAAAGGGAGTGTCGGGTTTCCTGTCTGTGTGCTCGGACTTGGCTGAACACCCAGAGATGAGAACAGAGGCCACCCAGAAACATCCCGACTCAAACTTTCTCACATAGGATTCGTTTGACTCTTAAAAACCAAAGAGGCGAGTTTCTGCCGCGCGTTGGTTGTCAGTTGTTGGGGTTTTTTTGCAGTTAGTTTACAAGAAAATCTTTGCTGTTGAAGTGATGAACTACGTGTTCTGCTCCGCATCGATGAGGCTGCGACTCTGGGAAGCCGCCGCCAATTAAACTTTCCAGAGTGATTATTTATGCCGTTTTTCATGAGCTTCTATAAGCTCCTATTATTCACCGCGTACATATTTAAAATGTTCTTCTTTCTTTATTTTTTAACAGTCGTGTGGAATTACGGCGCAGACGCTTCGTCCACGTTATATCGAGTTACGCTAATTGTCGGTGTCTTGAGTTGTAAATGATGCCGACGTCAACGCATGAATCATAATTATGACTCGGAAACTTCTGGAGTATTTCTGAGTAATAAGTCCAAGTGCTTGAAAAACATTCCCGATCAAACCAATTTAATGCACAACCAGTTATTTCCTTTTTCAGCTCCCGTCTTTCTGCTGAGTTGGTTGGAACCCACACAGCTGTGAGAAGAGGTCTAATCCAATCATGCGACATAAGTGAAAACACCTGCGTGGGTGTAACATGGGTGTTAAAAGCATTAGGCGGAGATTACGTAACACCGCCGCTTGATCCTGGAGGAAAGTTTGGGCTGCGAGGAGCCGCTGGAACGGGAATCCATGTGTCGCTTTAACGTTTTTCTGATGGTTTTATTGCACCTGTTCGGGCGGGATCGGTGCACGCTTTGGAGACCTTTTTAACTGACCGAGTAACTGGAAACACCTGTGTTGGACGTGTTTTCTAATTAAATGTATTTATAGTGAGGCGTCACTCCTCCGTTCCTCTGTTGTTCGGTGTCACAGGGATTTAAAAGGCATTTAATAAGAGTCGCTGTCACTATACGGGAAATCTTCCAGCGTTCACCTCGGCCGTCCCGCCCCTTCGCACGTCTCCAGCTGTTCACCTGGGCGGCAGACAAAGACGAGCTGGAAGGTGGCGCGCCCTCGTGAGAAAGCGTGCCCCCGAACAGTAATCCTATTTTAATCTGCCTCCTGAGGTTACGTGTCCTGGATTATCAAATATGAAGAATGCCGCTCAGGAGGGAGCCCGAGACTCTGAATCGCTTTAGAGAGACGCTTCTGAAGAAAGTCGATTGTAGAAATCAGAGAATAAAATCCTTAAATTACGGATTTCTGTTGGATCTACGTGTTCTCGTTGCCGCTCTGCTTTAAAAAATTGTCAACTTTCATCTCATTTTATGTTATTTTTGCTATAATAGCGTTTAATTTCACCTACTGGCAGACTTTCAGCTTCATGTAGGTTTAACACAATCGCTGAAAACCCCAATTTCCCAAACACTAGAGGCGTCTGCTTACATTTCTGGCAGCTTGTTGTTACTTTGCATTAAATAAAATTAAGTTTTTGCTGCTCAAAGACCCAAAGAGCGAGATTAAAAGAAGTGTTTCTCTGCAGTCAGGTTTGATTTTCTGTTTTGGTTTTGTTAGAGGAGATACAAAAAAGCTCAAATAAACTCCAGCTCTGCAGGATTTCATTAAGAAGAAGCTGCATCTGCCTCGCTGCGTTTATTAAAAGCTCTGTTTGGGTCGTAATCTGCAATTTGGCAACTTCAGTTTTAGAAAAGAAAAAGAAACCTCGTGTCCCGACGAGACGGGCCGAGGAGCCGCCACTGTTTGGTTGACCTGTTGATGTTATCGCCATGGAAACAAAGGCTCGTCTATTCCGGAGGAGGAATATGTGTTTTTTCTTCTTCTCCTCCGCCGTCGGAGGAGCTGCAGAAGGTTGGAGGTTCAGCGGCGGCTCTGCTTCGGGGTCAACGTGTCAGTGTTGCTCGCCGACACGTCGACCCCGAAGCAGCGCCGCGTGTCCCGCCTCTGAATAAACCCGATTCAATTAAAGCCGGCTCTGACCTTTTCGGTTTATCCTCCTCCTGCTTGTCATTTTTTTTTTCCAGAAAAAAAACGCTGAAGCCGGTTGCTCTCCTTTTTTTTTTTTTTTTTTTTTTAGGAGATTCGGGCAAATTACGACAACATTAGCTGGAAAATGTCAGACCTTATTAAGTCACTCGACACACCTGTAACTCGGCTTGTTTTTCAATTCACATGCAAATATTAACATTTCTGTGGAGCCTCGGGAGGTTTTTATCCAAACGGGCTCTGGCTGTGTGTGTTTGCTCAGAGGAGGCCATTATGAAGCTCGTAATTAATTACCATTTAAAAAAAATAAGGTTTCAGCATTGATTTCTCTCCGTGCGTTGCTGATGATGCACCACGACTACCTGTACGTCCACGTGAACGAGCCGAGGCAGCACAGAGAGGGAGATTTGTTTTATTTCCGTGGCACAGATGTTAACATTTCCTTCTTGTGTCTTTGGTGAACCGGTTAAGATGAGAGGAAACCGAAGCATGTGTCAGTCAGACGAGGGAGTAAGACGGAAACGAGGAGAAAACAGTTCTGACTCGAGGGGGTTGATATTTCAGCTCTGTTTAAAAAAAAAGAAGAAGTTTGTTTTGCTGTTGCAAGGCATCCTCCTTTCCCACCTTCAGGCTGATTATCCAACCTGATTCCAGTCTGCCTGCAGTCAGCTGAGGACAGGATAACCGAGAGGCTGCGTGAAAGCAAGCGACATCTTCTCCTCGTATCCAGAGTTTACACGACGCTCCTCGTTGCAGGTGCAGCTCGAAGTCTAGAAATAATAACGGAATCTCTGGATCCGAGCTTTGTGTTTGTTTACGTGAGTTTATCTGCACATGCTAATCAGCGCGTGTGTTCGTCCACAACGCGTCGTTCCAATCTGATTAGTTTTAATAACAAAACCGACGTGCGGCGGATTCCTCGGCTCTCTCGTGCCAAGAAGAAGAAGGAGACGGTGACGAGGACCAGATTCCTCGGGCCTCGACGCTGAAATTAGATCAGGCCAATCTGGAGAGAGTGTTTAGAGGCTCGCGCAAAAAAAAGAGGAGAGATAACGCTGGCGGGGAATCATCAGATTATGGAAATAATTAGTTGTCATGGATAACAGTCATCATTTGATGTGATTGGGTGGATTTGTGCAGCTTTGGGAATCCGTGCGGAGGGAGGAGGAGGACGACGATGATGGAGGAGGAGGAGGAGGAGGAGGGAGGAAGACAAATTATTCTGCTTTGGCGTAGTGATGCGGCACCGGCTCGCATCTGTTCTGTCAGACTGTGATTACTGACAAACACTTTCCCTCCACTTCACAGTTTACAATCAGTCAAACGAGACCGTCCCTGTGCTGGATGCAACGACGTCCGTGCAGTTTCTGAAAACAAAAGGCACGCATGAGGGCAAAGGTTTAGAAATAATAATAATAATAATAATAATACATACTGTAGCTTTGTTGTATTTTTTTGGTGATGTTTCTCTCCAGCAGCTGTATTTGTATTGAGCAGCAACACGAGGTGCAGTAGCTCTGTCTGACTCACTGTTTCCTGTTTCCTGCTGCAGAGGAAGGCGAGTACTTCCTGAAGGTTTTGATTCCCAGCTATGCGGCGGGTTCAATCATCGGGAAGGGAGGTCAGACCATCGTCCAGCTGCAGAAAGAGACTGGAGCCACCATCAAACTGTCCAAATCCAAAGACTTCTATCCCGGTAAGAAACCACAACAACCTCCGCCGCTCATGGATGGATGGATGGATGGATGGATGGATGGATGGATGGGTGGATGGATGGGTGGATGGATGGATGGATGGATGGATGGATGGATGGATGGGTGGATGGATGGATGGGTGGATGGATGGATGGATAGATGGATGGATGGATGGATGGATGGATGGGAAAGTAGAGCAAAATTCCATCCTGACGTACTTTTACACTGCAAATTTACTGTTTTTATCAAGTTTAGACACACTTAAATAAGAATAATTTCTTAAATAATGGCGCAAGCTGTTAAAAAGTGCATTTGTAAGACACATAGAGACACAAAATACTGCTAAATAGAAGATGCACAAAACAATGCAACAACATAAAGAGGAAAAGTGGCTGTTTTTCCCAAAAAATGCTGCATGTTTTGTACTTTTTTTGCAACGTTTGACCAAATATGCACAGATGCACAGCAACATAGCAGGACTAGAAATACAAGATGCATCGCTGTGCATGTCTTTACTGTCAGTGCTTAAAGTAAAGTGGCGTTTTGCTTCATCAGCAGTGCAGTAAAACAAGAAGGAACAGATGATGGATGGATGGAAAAATGGGGATGAATGAGAAACGGCAAAAACAATCAATGAGCAGGAAAATGGATGGATGGATGGATGGATGGATGGATGGATGTGTAAAAACCATCTACTTATCCATGCTTGTAAAGGAAGTGGAGGATGCGTCAGGATGAATGGATGGATCAGTGCAAAGTGTTGTGAGCCATTAAGGGAGCATTTCATTGTCTCAGTCTGCGTCCATCAATTTTTCATGGCGTTAAAACGCACCATGCTGCAGATGCACACTGTTTATATACACACAGCGAAGAGCCAGCTGACCGCAGAGCCGAGCGGCCGGCCGGCTGTTTTGCACCAACGGTCGGACTCTTGTATCGATGTCGTGAAATAGATTTATGGATTTTATAAAGGCCGCGTTGTCCGTCTGCGTGTTTGTGTAACAGTGATTGGGTTTTAGGTTGCATCCACCCTCCTCCCTCCACCACCACATATATACGAAGAGTTCACCAGAGATCAGGATTTACAGGATCAAGGGTGAAATTGTGTTTGTCTGAACTCTTAATGCTGCCTGTGTGTGAGGATGAGGGGGAGGCTGTCTGTCTGCCTGCTTCGCGCCGTCCTGCTGCGAGTGTTGTGGAAGAAATGCATTGTCACACTAAAACGCTCCGTCTTTGCTTTCCTGTCGTTTTGTGCCATTATGGGAAATCTCCTCGCAAACCGCAGAGGCAGTAGAGAAGAGGATGAAGAGTAAGGCCACTAAAACTCTTGGTTTAGGAAAAGATGTCGGTTAAACGCTGAAAAAATCCATCTTGTGCTTTCTTATTTAACCAAGACCGCAATCTTTCCTTAAGCTCTACCAAGCACTTAAGAGATGCCTCGACACGACCGGAGAAACATTATTTACACACATTATTGGAAAACACGTTAAACGCAGCGACGGCGAAGGTTCTGCGTGTTGCAACTTTGCAGGATTTTAATGCGCTCCAGCTAAATATCCTCTAAAATCTCAACATGTGTGCGTCTTTCTGCGGTTTCCCCACTTTGTGTAAAAATCCGAAACCACGTGGAAAAACAGTCAAGTTTTAAGTGCCTTCACATGCCTCCAGTTTAGCTGTGAGGAGCCAGTGACAGGCTGGCAGGATGATTTAGCGTTCGGAAACATGTTTATACGACCCGAATCTTATTACTACGACCCAAACTTCTCCCCGCGAAATAACATTCACGACCTCCGGGTTTTTACTGCAAGAGGTAGAACAACCTCCGGAGGTAGAAAATCACAGTCACATGCTCGCACTAAACACCTCCCACCTCCAGTTAAACTCCCAGCGAGCCGTGTTGTCGTAGCACCTGCTGAGCCTCTGATGTAATCGCCGCCCCCCCGAGCCAATCGCAGCGTGACGTTTTCTCCTGCGACTCGTCGGACACACTTTAGCGTTTCTCAGGGCTTCAAACCTGGATTCCCCGTCGGTTTCTGTGTGCGATGGGATACGCCGGCTGGCTGCCGCGCGCACATTCGTGAGAAAGAATGCGGAGAAAATGTTTGCACAGTGAGGTCACCGCTGATGCGAATCCACGGCTTTCTGTGTTTGTGTTGGTTTGTGTAACACGAGGTCTTGGCGAGGAGTCGCTTAGCTTTCAGGAGGCCTGCAGGTTAAATAAAGTGCAACTCAGACGAGCAGTTTTTAAACAATCTGATTAAAATTTAACAGGAAAATGAGCTGCTTTACCTCCTTTTTCTTTTTTACTTTGGATTAAAAAGGACACGCTGGATTTTCACCGTGATGCATTCTGGAAATAACAGTCGTCAACACAGTTTTCCCGTAAAGCTTCATTTCACATCTTCCTGCCCAGCTGCATTCGCGCTCCTGCCGTCTCCCCGAGTATTTTATTTGGGTTTTGAAATTCAGCTCTTGTTGTCTCAGTGTGTGTGAATGAGCGTATCAGTTCGGGGGTCCGCAAACAAGCCGCCGTTGTTTGACGCCGGCACACGAGACTCCTGGAAAGCTCTGCCAGCCAGAACAGATGCAAGGTGCAGGAGGCAGAGATGCATGCGTGGCTGCAGCACTATACAATATACGGGCTATAAGCAAAGGAGGGGGGACAAAAAAACTGAACGGACATGATTGTGCACACACCTACATGCACAGAAATGGCTTCTAATCTCCAAGCCGAGAAAGAACTGAGGAGAGAAAGAGGGGAGGAAGGAGAGACAAGTGAAAGCAAAAAAAAAGAAAGAGAGGGTTGTTGTGGGTCTGGAGGAGCTGTGTGGGCGAGTGTGCACGACGCGAACGCACCCTTCCTCTGCTCTGAAGGGGGCATCTGTATGCTAATGAGACACGGTTCTTCCTGGGTGACAAATCAAAAGGCCCACCTGCTGCAAGAGCCCGTCTGTGTGTGTGTGTGTGTGTGTGTGTGTGTGTGTCTATGTGTGTGTGTGTGTGTTGGGAATAACGGGGCCAGTCTAATGAACAGAGTTGAGAGTTACTGCTGTGTCTTGGCCGGAGCGTCTCATTCCTCTCCTCACCCTCCTCACAAGACATTAGTCGCCCTCCTTTCCTTTCTCCCCCCCCTACTTCCTCCCCTTTTCTCCCCCACATGCACACACACACACACATACACACACACACACACACACACGGCACATCCCACATGGAAAACCAGGTAGAGGTCACAAGAGTTTTTTGGAGTTTCGTATCGTCGTCCTGGAAAATGTAAAATAACTTTGCAGACAAGTGTTAACCCAGTGACTCCAAAACCTCCCGGCAGGTTTAAAAGAGGAATGTAAAAAAAATAACATAAAAAATCACCAGAATTACACCATTTATCAGAGCAGGAAACTGTAAAAGCTGAAATATTTGTTGGATATTCAACTTTCAGGCAGTTTTGAAACTGATCATATGTGAGGTGTGGTTCTGCTGAAAGAATTCATCAAATCTAAGCGAAAATAACATTAAAATTCCTTAATGCTACATGTGTCATTGATAAAATTCGACAAAAAATAAATCATTTGCTTCAGCTACATTCTGTAAAAAATAAAAAATTCAGTGCTTCACTATGCAATTTTAAAGCCATGAGTGATTCAGCTGTGACTAACAGTCATTTCATAAAAATTCAGGGACTTTTTGCTTGAACTCGACTGAACTGCAGGCTTTGTTTATGCAGATCAGATAGCAGGTAACCAAAAAAACTAATAAAAAATTCAAGTAGTACAATATCTATTGTATGTAAAGTCATATTTTATCTCCAGTTATTGTACCAAAATGCTGCACATATTGCAAATTATGCAAAAATGCAGATTTCCTGATTTTTGTTCCAGTTTCCATAAAACAAATCATGAAAAAATGTGCTTTCGTTTTTGCTTTTTTAATGATTTACAGCTTTCTAACTGTGCAAAAGACATTTTTAAGTCTGCTTCTAGCTATGGTTGTGCCGTTTCCATCGAGGTGCAGGATGTTATAGTGAAAGACGAACCCCCGGTGAGTGAAAATGTCAGAGGAGCAAAAACAAAACCCGTCAGCTTTCTTGTTTCGCTAAACCTTAAATATTCATAACCTTATATCTGCTGGTAGGTCTGCTTGTTCCAGTCTGGTGTAAAGTCTGCTTGTTAGAAGACTGTAAAGGAATATAATAACCCAGTTAAAGTCCTGCGAAATTTTTTGCCAAAGTCCCGCAGAGTGTAAAAGCTGCGCGGAGCCAAAACGAGACGCCGTCCAGCAAACGGGGGAAAATGGAATATATCTTCAGCACAGACGCAAACAAATGTGAGCTTCTCTCCAAAATGAGATCATCAGTTTAAACTGAAATAAAAGCACCTCTGGCTCTCACAGAGATTCTTTATCACAGAACTAACAGTGTTTGGCAGCCGTCGCAGTACAGAGAGTTCTGGGAGACATCTCAGGCTGGATCTGGCTGATTGGAGCTGTTGAGAGATGAAGTCAAGATAAAAGAACCAAATTAGATCTTTACAGTAGAATCGTAAATATTCTTTTCTCTTTAAACATTAATTGCGCCGCTGGGGGGGGATTCAGAATGAGCTAAAGGTGATGTGACAAGAAAAGGGGGGAAAACACAACATGAGGAGAATCCAACGAGACAATAGAAAGTCAACATGAGAGGATGTAAACAAGCGTGGGGTTAAAATGAGAATCTCAAAAACAAGAATTAACACGACCACAGGGAGGAGCGTGGGTTCCTACGTCCTAACAGACGAACAAATCAGGAGGTGAACTGTGTTGTCTAACCTTGTCTTACCTTGTTCTCTTTTCCTACATTCCTTTTTTCTTCTCCCTCCTCCCTCCTTTTTTAAATTTTATTCATGCATCCTTCGATCCAGCTTCGTCTCACCCATCAATCATCCCTCCCTCCCGTTGCTTCCTCTCCCTCCTTCCTCTTCCCCCCTCCTTCATCCCATCTGGAGGAAAATAGTGCAGCAGCAGCACT